ATTTATGTTTTTGTATTTTCAGTTCTAGCGATCTTCATTGAGTATGTTCAGTGATCGCTGAAGAGCTTGCACTGTAAATCTATCAGAGACAACAATACTTCAAGAAGACAACACTCACACCAAAGATCCTTCAGCAAACGTCAAAGACTGAAACTGAAAATTAGAGACCGGCGAGTACGTGATCTGAAGCGGTACTCATTGATTACAAGTCTGTCTACATATGTGTGAAGACTGCTCAAGCTTCAGCGAATGATGATGAGACCTTCAGGTCATTCCAGCATTCAGCGATCAAAAAGAGCTTGCTTAGCACGATTGTTGTTGTCTTGTCCTTATGCACGCAAAGGACAAAACACATACCCTTATGAAAGTTAGTACGGTACGGAGCTGACTAATCAACTCCTTGTCCATCAACTTTAAGCAAGGATGTCTGCTTATGAATAGTGCTTTTTGTACTATTCACTGTGGCAAAGGACAAACCTTCCTCTTAAGGCTTGACACGCACTCTAACCCTACCATATTGCATTAAATGTTCATTTAATGCACCAGGTATAAATAGAAATGTTTCTTCTTCATGCAGAGTGCGCGCAACTTACTCTCTAACCCTAATTCTTATTTCAAGCATTTTCTAGCTTAAGTAAATGATCTTCTTTACAACAATTTCTTTTCTTGTATTTGCTAAGACTTTGTGTGTAACCAAAGATTGTTTAGATAGGTTTTTATTACCTTATCTTTTCGCAAACAATCTTGTAAAATCTGTATTGATCTTCTCTATCAATATATATTTTAAATTTGAAAATATTGTGTATGTATTCTTCCCCCCCCCCCTTCTACAAACTGTTTCTCTTCTTGTAAACCCTCACGGGACCAACATTTAACAATTCTCAAAATAACCTATATATATATATATATATATAAGGTGGGATTCCAGTGATAAGTGTAAGCAGGGATTTCCGCTCTTGGATGCACATTAGAATGAGATACACTAATATGGGATGCACCGAATCAATCCCCGTATCAATCGAGATTCATGGGTGGGTTTGAGATTAAAGGTGATCAAGGGTCAAGATTCTTTCTTACGCTTCTCACTTTAACTATTCTTCTTACACGATACTTCACCTACATATATAGGAGCAGGTTCAAACGAGAAAACAGTCAATTAGTGAGAAGGCAAGAAGGAATATGGGATACACAATACATTAATTAAAAAATACCGTAAATAAAAAATGAAAAAAAATTTAGAAACTATGATAATTATCATTTTGAATTGGATAAATCCTTAAAAATCTCATTATATCTTTTAGATTTATTTAWTTTTTAATTTTAATTAATTAATAACTTTTTTATCAAGTTTTATATGGAAAAATTAGATACACTTTTGATAAAATAATTTCATAATTTTATCAAATATCACATATAATATCTACGATCAATCCATATGATAATTATAGATATTTTGTTAATCATATGTGATAATCGTAGATATTGTTGTTAATCATATGTGATTATGTATGTTTACATTTATATCTTTTTGTGATTTAAATATTATAACATGTGATGATACGTCATTTATATTCAGACGCATATTATTATATGGGATATGTCTGATATGTATAAAAATCCACATAGTGGATCATATAGATTATATGTGGTACGTAATATATCATATTTTAAACGAAATTTATCACATGTGATTCTAAACGTGAATCCAAAAATTAGAGAAAAAATGGTGTAAAGGATTGTAGATATCACATGTGATGTTTGATACAAATTTTGATTTTTTTTATCAAAGTATATCTAGAAAGAAAAAAAGGTTAGATAAAACTTTATAAAATAATTATGAATTTATTAAATTAAAAATAAATAAATCTAAAAGATATAATTAGATTTTTGAAGATTTATCCAATTAAAAATGATAATTATCCTAATTTCTAAATTTTTTATGTTATTTTTTAATTGATGAATTATGTGTCACATATTCATTCTTGCTTTATCACAAATTAGTTAGCTTCTCACATGATCCTCTCTCTCTCTCTCTCTCCCCCCACACACACATATTTATAAACCCACCATTAGTACAAATCATAGAAACCAATTCATTAAGATATGAATAGAAATGTTGAGAGTTTATTTAATATGACCGGGATATTTATGCAAGATTATCAGAGTTCTTTTATTATGATCAGTGTTTTATATCAAGAAACAATCGAGATATTTATATTTTATATATATATATATATATATATATATATTTGTTTTGATGATTACAAAATGAATTGTGTAATGGGTTAACAACATACATGATATGCATATGAATGATACATTAAAAATCAAGTAGAGAATTGTGTTTGATCAAATAATCAATGAAACACGTTGCCTTGCCATATTGCCTCGAGACTCGTGCCAAGCGACAAAAGTCGAAAATTGCATTGCAATTTATACCACGAAGATTAAATCAAATCCAAGTTGAATTCTTCATCCGGATTCATCTAATATTGAGTGGTATACAAATATACTCTCAAATCTTGGAACACAGGAAATATGAGAACATGAGAACGTACAAAAACTCAAATTTCTTGTGATTTGGCTTATTGCCTAAAAATAACATTGAATGTAAATACGACTTAATACACGTCATTGTCAAAGTCAATATGGACATCCACAATACTTGTAGTGGTCAAAAAACAGGATTTTTTGTTAAAAGTGACAATGCCGACATCGACTTGGTGTTCGATGTGAATGTACACATTAACTCTAAGATTTTGAAAATATTTTTTATAGCTAGAATCTTTCTCCCTCCCCCCTTCTCTATAAAATCTATCAAGAGAACCTTGTTAAAATATATGTTATTTTACAATCTTAACTTGTTTTCTGTTTGAGGGAATATATTTGTCAAAGCTTAAAAGATGTGGAATCTGATGGTAGAAGTTATAGGACCGTGCCTCACATTTTGGAATAAGACTTAACACGTTTATAAAGTTGAAATAAAATTTGAGATTTGTAAAAACGTATTTGAACCTTATATATCATCATAAACTTTCCGAAAGACGATGTTATGTCAATTTGATTTTGGGATCAGGTTAACTTATCACAATATTAAGACAAGAAATTGAAACTTTATTATCCTTTTTTGTAGAAATGATTGTTATTTAATATATTTTATCGTCTCTTCATCCCAATTTATGCCCGTTATGACTTGATTTCTATTGTAAATCAAGGTTTAACTACAACATCTTTGCTTTATTTGACTGAATTCCATAATTTATATGTAAACCAACATAATTATTATCATGGTCATATGAATGATTTTTGCATAGACCCATCCCTTCGTTAATATGTCCGGGTCAAAAGGATATCCAAGTTGTATTAGCTCGATCTAAATGGATCGACATCAAACAAATTTCAGTAGATTCAATTACATGATCCATCTTGAATGATATGTTTTGTTAGGTTAGAGAATAATTTTCATGGATTCGCTGATTTAGATCAAATGTCATATGAAAGTGGGATTAAAATCGAAATCATTATCAAAATCAATTAATCAAATATATACTTCATAAATAATGAGGTAACGTGATTACTTTTTAATTATTTAAACTCATAACCTTTCAAATTATATAAATATTCTGCAAGAAAACGTATGACGTCAACTTACTGGTCCCATAATCATTATAAGGACGAAAGTTATAAGATAATTAAAATTAAAATTCTCAAAATCAAACTCCAAAGAAAATGAAGTATAATTTTATTGTTTTTACAAATGAAATTGACTGAATTATTATTTTATATAAAATTTTATTGTGATATTAGAAATATTGAATATTTTAATAATAAAAATTATGTTTAAATCTTTTAACGAAGAAGAATGTAAATTTCTTCTAGATTTTGAGTTTTTTGTCACTAAGCAAAAAAAAGAGCTTTTTCTCTCATTGACTCTTATGGGATAGGGGTTGTTCGGTTTTCCATTAAAACTTGTATGTATAAAATTGTTTGTATTGATATAACATAAATTCTTGTTCGGTTGTTTTTACTGAATATATAGTCTTAATGGCTAAAAATGACCATCTTACCCCTGAACAAATAACATTGATATTTTTGGCAGCAAAGAACAAAGAAGATTTTTTTTGATATACCATTACCTATTAATGATAACTTCAATTACCTAATTCTGACAATTATACAAATAGTGTATTCCTCCCTAATTCTGGGAATTAACCTCAATTATCCTATTCCTATTCCTATTCCTATTCCCATTTGAAGGTTTCTTGAATCCACAATATAAAATCAAAAAGCTTCCAAAAAAAATTACAAAATTTCCACCCTCACCTTTTTTTTTTTTTTTTTTCCAATCTCCATAGGACTCTACTTTTCTAGCTGACCGATTAAGTCATCAGCTGACTAAATAAGCCACAAACGAACAACAATATATGGCTGATTGAATAAGCTATACAGGCTTAACAATCATAAATCTTGCTCAAGGTTCATCGTGACATTTTCTTCGACAACTTAACATTTCTCATTTGAAAAAAAAATATAAAAAAAATCTGTAAAAGATACTCTTACCAACTAGGCTAAAACCATAACCTTATCACCAGAATATCTTTTGTCAGTCAAAAAATAAAATAAAATAACTTAAAATTAAAATAACTTAAAATCCACAACATCATGATGGCATGCTTCTTATTTTAGAAATTAAAATATCAAGAGATATACCACTTATGATGGTGATGGCTCATTATTGCTACCCATACTCAAGAGGCATGTTAGTAGTTAGGTAAAAGTTGCTTTCACTTCCACTTATCATATGCTACTGTTCTTTCAAGCCAAACTCATGGCCTAAATTATTGCATTTACAACCAACATGCCATCATCTACCCTTTTTCCCCCTTCCTAACTTTCTATATTGCATGTTTACAATGCTAGAAATCTGGTTTTCACCCCCCAATCCTATAATCTCATTGTTGTACGAACAAAACTCACAATACTAACAACAAACAGACAAATGCAGCAGTATATCCCACTCACTCAAAAATAGATGTCTTAAAATGAAATTGATGCGATTATAGTTGTCGTAAGTTGACCTAGGAAACCATGGATGCATATTGAAAGTTCCCGATTATCCAATGTACGTATTTTATTATAAGAAAAGAGTTATACGAGCGAATGAAACTTAAAGCAACTTCACACCTGCTTCCCTTAAAGAATCGAGGACTGCTCTCACCTTGCCATGATATCTTTGCTCTCTTTTGTAGACAACGGAAACGGCTGGGATGTCTTTGAGTAGCAATCTCTCACCTAAAAGCTTCCCTATCTTAGCAGCAGCAGCAACATCTCTAGTGCTTTGTTGAGCTTTGTTCCAGGCTTCCCGAAGAGCCTTCTCCTGTGAGCTTGCAGCAGAGGCAACAGTTGCAGTTGGCGCATGGATCACTTGGGCACTTACATACTTGTTTGAGAAATGCATCTTCAACAGATAAGGTTTCAGATAGTTTGTAATCCTTTGAGCCTTGACTGGTGGAGGAATCACCATTATCTGTTTAAGACCATTACCAATAGCCATCAGCTACCATACTAAATGTTGAAGGGTCTTGTTTATAATTAAGAGCTGAATAAATAAGAGGTTCTTTAGGGATGCGTTTGATACGCAAACGGGACTGGACTGAGTGAGTTAGGAGGGTCAAAGAGTTTGTGGAAAGTTTTAGGGGTTTAATTTGACATGGTAGTTTAGTAATTTACCAATCTTATAATGAATCAAACAACAATGTGAAGTTCACAATCATCAGTGTGAAAGTTTAGAACGACGGCGCCTATTAGGCTATTAGCTAATACTAATGCAACTTCGATTAAACTATGGGGGCCTGTTTGATAAAACTGAAGAAATAAAAGATTTAAGTGGCCTAAGAGAGTAACTCGTGCTGAATGGAAAATGATTGTTGACACAAAGTTACCGTTCTAACCCTAGAATACCTTAAATCCGACACCATGATGTAGAGAGCAGAAAATATGTCAACCTCAATTTAGTGTCAAAAAGGTGTGGTTCAAGCAAATCCAGCCAAAAGTCCACAGCTTCTTGTGGCTAGCACCTGCAAGGATGACTTCAAGTGAAACATAACATGTTCCAACCATAGTCGGCTTCATTGTTATTTGACTTGTAGGAATTTCAACGGGTAGCGAGTGCCTTAATTGGTGATCCAGTTCCAACTGGACTTGGTAGTTCAGGACACAAAGTAATTGCTCCATATGTGTTTTGGACCATTTAGCTCACAAAAAATGATGTATGCTTTAACAACAATCACATTTTCTGGTCTCATATAGCATTCAAAGTCAAGATCTGGGATTTATATTGGGTTATTTAAGCATTGTGCAGTGGTTCGAAGTACATGTTTGACTTCAACAACCAAGAGCATTTCAATTAGTTAAGGATCAGATAGACAGCATTTACGTGATTTAAAATTGCAGTTCTTTTCTGGGCCTGATCCATGGTGAAATGAAGTTAACCCATTTGATCAGGGATACGTCTGTGGATCATATATTCAGATGTAAGCATCTCCATTGTTGGAGTTCCAATGAAGATCGAATTATTGCCAAAAACACACACATAATCTATCTTCTCCCATGCTCTATTGGTTTTCACTTCTCCCATGTGCACGTTTTATCTTCCTGATTTAAAATAAAAATAAAATATAAACTACTCAAATTGATGGTGAGCAAAAGAAGGGATCCTCGATTTACTTCAAATGGGGAAAAGGCTATTAGAGCCATTTTCCAGTAGAATTTTGCTTCTAAAGTAACAAAGTCAGATTGCTGGTGTGTTGGATATGGCTTGGGTTGAATATTTTCTTCAACCAGAAAGTAGGATAGATGTTGTTTCTAGTAGCAGTGAGATGGCCATGATGGAGCACACATGCAAACAATGTTAGTCATAGGCTCTAAGGCTCATATGGCTTAAGCTCTTGGGCTTTTTTCAAGTCAAGGCTCAGCGTATTCAGGAGGCTCACTAAGACACTGCACCTTGGCTGAGGCGCCTTGTGGGCCTAGGTGCGCCTCATAAAGGGTTACTAAATACCCAGTTAAATCCTAACTAAATAAGTTTTCTCATCTTCTTATCTTCTAGATTTCTTAAAAAAAAGTACTATTAAATAGATGATACAAGTCAAACCCTAATATTAAATACCAAGTCCTTAGAACTTCAAGCCTCCTTCTCTATAAATACCCAGACCTTAAAACTTCTCCTTAGCAATATGTATTTCCCTCCCCTTCTGCCTCTATCAATTTGCTGCATTAGAGACTTGTGTAACTCTGTGTGTGTGTATTGATAAGATGCGCCTCGCATTCCTGAGGCCTACGCCTCAAGCCTGCTCCTTGCGCCTAGGCCTCGGGGCCGGGACCCCGTTGCGCCTAAGTGCGCCTTGAGCCTTTAACAACTTTACATTCGCCATATCATTCTGCGGTTGCAGGATAATGGGACTTGTATCTCACCTGTTTCGCTAGTGACCCAAGCCGTGCATCAATGTAGAAAAGGAGAGAACCAGACCACTCAATTTCTTGCTAGAAAAAAATTTAGCATCTCAGAAACCCGAGTTTGCAAGAAAGCATACAAGTCTATGAGATATTGGAATTCAGATTTTGAACAACTGACGGTTCAGTTACAAAACACATCCAAGAAAAGAGAACACATTTCCAAGAAAGTAGAACCAGTGAGGCTGTACAAGTTGATGTGAAGAACAATGGTAAAGCAGAGAACCCACTTGGACATGGGAACTGTGAATTTTGTATCACTGAGGAATTACGCCACTAGGTTTCTCAAAGGTGTTTAGGAGATTTACTTTGTTCGGTAGAACAAAACCAAAGAGAAAATCAGGTTTAACTATCCTATGACCAAAAATCATTGTAAAATGCAATATCATTCAGATGTGTGTGCTGTCCTAGCATCATTATTTACAGGCATGCTATGCTCCAGAGGACTGAAAATAAATGATTTACAATAAGCTTCAGAAATCTTCTTCAAATGAAAAACTTTGTGCCAAGAGTAACAAAATCAAACCAACATGTTCTTAACTCATGATGTATGCATAAGGCGACAGTAAGCTCGTTAAAATAGATCAATCAACACTGAAAGCCATATGTCCCTTGTCAAACTATAAAAAAAATCCAGTTGGGGAGTGACCCTAAATTTCCTATCCTTTTAACATTTACAAGGATATATGATCATCTTGACTCATAGGCCATACTTCACAACTTCAGCCCTAGCATATTGATCACATGGAAGCTCTATATGCCAAACACTATCAAAGATAAACAGAAGCAAAAAAAAACTGCAGATGAAACAACTCTATTTCCCATTTAATATTTCGGTTGATTTTTGCATATTTAGAGTAATTTGCATTGCATCTATCTTCCATTTTATAGTGGGGTCACATTTGGGAACTAATGAGCTTTGTTGAGTTTTATGCTGATTTTATGAAGTGGCACTTGATTCGGTAAGCAAGAACATCAAGGAACCATTTGTAAGTTTGGAAAAGAAGGCAGCAAAGTGTGAGGATGAAACGCATGACCTGTGCTGTTTTGAAGAGGAAAAAAACATCACCTTCATTTGAGGACTTTGGACAGAAAGTTTGGCACGGACCATGAGAAATTCAAGTGAAAAAAAATGCATGGACCATGCACTGTGACTGACAGTTTTGCCACGCGACTTTTGGGTCCTCTAGCTACCTTCTCTAGGCTTATCTTCTGCTACTTCCCTTTGGATATATTTTAAAAGGATATACGCTTGGGCTCCCAACAGGGCAGGTCCAAAGGTTTTGGACGCCCTAGGCAAAGAGCAAAAAATATGCCCCTAATAAACAAGAACACACAAATTTTTAAGGGGTTTGGAACCTAGTTAGACGGTTCATTCTCACACCTATTTTTATTGGAAATATAGTTACAAAGGAGGGACATAAACCAAACCCCAAACAAACTGAAAATTCTGGCTACTCTCTCTCAGGTTGTCAAATAACATACATGGCCCAATGATGTGTCACGTATATTGATATAATTAATTGAAATAATGAGAAAGCCACTGTGTATGCATAATCACATGGTTTCTCTTGATGTTTCAGCAGGCAAACAGGTTTTTTCCAAGAGGGACAATACAGCTAACTACTTATTAACCTGGAACCTGTAGAACAGTAGATGGAATGATACATGGAAAAGATTTGCAAACTTGACTCAAAGATAGAATACTGAAAAACAAGTAGAGGAACATAGAAGTCATTTTGGATGATGAATTGAGGTTAAAATTGTATAGCGCTTTCTTGTGTGACCTTGACATGAGCCCATTAGAAAGAAACACATTTTAGAAATAAGACAAGAGTAATGTCTTGCATGCTAAAACATCAAGAGAAATCAAGAAAAATCACCAAATATGTAAAACCAAGATCCAAGCAAATCAAGATCACCAGAACATCAACATTCATCAATATCATAGTTGTTAAAAGCGCACGCCTAGGCTCTAAGGCTCAAGTTTTTGGGCATTTTCAAGTCAAGGCTCAGCGTATTCACGAGGCTCACTAAGCCCTGGCTGAGCGCCTTGTGGGCCTAGGTGCGCCTCATAAAGAGTTACTAAATACCTAGTTAAACCCTAAGATTAAATAAGTTCTCATCTTCTCATCTCCTAGATTTCTTAAAGAAAAGTGTTATCAAATAGATGACATAGGTCAAACCCTAATATTAAAGACCAAGTCCTTAGAAATTCAAGCCTCATTCTCTATAAATACCCAGACCTTAAAACTTCTCCTTCACGGCTCACGCTTTAAACCCTACTGCCTCTATCGAAGTACTGTTGGTTGCTGCATTGGAGACTTGTTGTGTGTAACTGTGTGCGTGTATCGATAAGATGCGCCTCGCATTCCTGAGGCCACGCCACGTGTCTGCTCCTCGCGTTTAACAACTTTAATCAACATTTTAGATAAGTAAATACTGAATAAGAAGGAAAAGCACTGGAAGCTGGATTTTCTGTGTCCAAGAAAACCAGGACTATGTCAAATCTGCTTATCATATGCTTATTATAACAGATAAACAAATAACCTAATAATAAGCATTAAGCAAATAACCTAAACCCTAAAACCAAATAACCTAATAATAAACAAATAAGCTAATAACCTAATAAGAAACCTAGAACATCAAAAAGACTAATAAGCAAATCAAGAAACCTAGAAACCTAGAAACATAAAAAAAGACTAAAAAGAAAACATCAAGATTCATAGAAAATTAAAAATAACACACCTGGGAGAAGTGATTGTGAGAAAAAAAGATGGGACGGATAGGAATGGTCTGTGCGTGAAGGCTTGAAAGAGCGTGAAAGGGGAGAAGACAGAATGGAGTCGTCTGGGTTAATTTTCCAAGAGCAAGTGTATGGTTGAGAGGCAGATTATTGGGTTAATTTTCTTAGAAAAACCGAGCCTACTAAGACATATTTAAGAGTTGCGGTGGCCGGTGGCTAACAGGACATCGAGCGCAACTCTTAAATCTGCCTTCCTAATGTTTTCACAATGGAAATCCAAAAATAAGTACCTACAAACAAATGTACCAATTTGTTTGCTAGAAATAGACATGAACTAAATGACTGTCACACCCTATCTTCTTTCTTAGGCTCTCAATGATTCATGGAATTAATGTATTTGGCAGTAGAAATGTCACTATTTGATCAATTTAGGCTCGATTAATATTTATTAGAGCTATATGTCTCAGTTAGTCATTTTATATGAGGGTTATGCCACATATGTGCTGGCTGCAGACTGAACGATTCTCCACAATTCTCTTGAGAACTAAGTTCTCTTTTCCCTTTCTTCAATTTGTACTGTTTGCATTTCATAACATCAAGTGGGTGTTCTTTGGGTTCTTTGTTATCTGGATTTCGTACAATCTCATTTGGTCATTTCTCTGTTTTTTTGGGGTTTAGAATCTTCAATCTTGATTGGAATGCTTAAACCCCTGTTCTTGTATGTTCAAATTTATTTCATCTTTTCAAGTTTTTGTTGATGGGTTCGCATTAGATTTTTGTCATGATGTAGACAAATGTCACTGCCATAAACATGAGAATTAAATTTTGTAAATGAACAAATTAAAAAAGATGAGATTTATAAATCACCCATTGATCTCTCACACAGTCACACACTAACACGCATATTCATTGATGGAAGATGAATCAGTGGTGTCAATGGTTCAAATTTTGCTTTTTGGTGGAGAGAAGAACCTGATGCTTTCTTTTTGATGTGTGAGTGGGTGGTGCTGCTATATATTTTGCTGTTATCTTCTCTCTTTATATTCTTTCTCATTTTTCCTAAATGACCCACAAAGAAAAGCTCATAAGATAAGGTTTGATTGATACTTTTTTCTATGATTTTGTTCTCCAAATTGGTTTCTGGGTGTGTTTGTGTGTGAATCAATTTGTTTCTGGGTGTGTTTAGACCTAAATCACCTAATCATAAATCAATTAGGCTTTAAGCAAACAAATTTAGACCTAAAGGCTAAATCACCTAAATCCTAATCAAGACAAATTAAGCAGTAAGCCGTAGTGGATTGCAGGAAGACAAATTTAGACCTAAGACTCAATCAAACGACCGGACCTTCTATGGTAGCAGGATTGCAGGAAGATAAAACACCATCACAATAGCAGGATTGCAGGAAGATAAAACACCATCACAAGTCACCAATCAAATTGTTGTGTGAAACTGAAACCTTGCAAGAACTAAGGTAGTCTACACAGGGTCGGAGACAGAGTGCATAAATTTAGACCTAAAGGCTAAATCACCTAAATCCTAATCAAGAAAATTAAGCAGTAAGCAGTTGCTATGGAGTCATCGGAGACAGAGTCGGAGAGAACAGAGAACAAAAGGACTTACCGATTACCGTCGTCCGTTGAGTCGTCGAGAGCACTGCCGCCTGCCGGAGGCGGGAGGAGGAGGACTGAGCGTATACCGTCGATGTCGATGCCGGTGGAGGACTGCTCACTGCCGTCTCGTCTCGTCTCGTCTCTCACGCTGGAGGCTGTCGTCGGTCACTGCTCAAGTCTCACTGGTCGGGATGTCGCAGCGCTGCTGGAGGACTGGATTCAAGAGTGGAGGGGCCGCCTGCAATTTTGTATGCGTAAAAGCCTTATGGACCAGAAATTTCCTTCTTAGTAGTAAAAAAAGGACGGGCCAGGGCCCCTAAAGGCCCAACAGGCCATCCGCCCGTTAATAGTTTTATCAAAACGCATCCCATAAATTGTTAAAAAGTGAATTTGTTTGACAAAAAAAAATGTCTTTTAATGATTCTAAAACCATTTAAATGATTTGTATTTTAACCCTCCCTGAACCGTTAGACGCTCTAATTTCATTCTGAACAATTACTAAATAACCATATTTCATTTTGCACTATATCATAGTCTCTTAATCATTCTGACCACTTAACCATCATCATTCTGACCACTTAACCATCATGCACCAAATCATTCAGCAATTGTCAAACAGCCCCTTAACGAAATAAAACAATTAGTAGAAGCTTTCTTCTTGATGAAGATTTCCTCTCCCTCTCTTTGGAAAAATCTCCAGATTCGTTCTTCAATGGAGATCTAGCTTGCTGGAATTTTGGGTTTATTTAGCAAAGAGTTGGAGATTGTAGCTTGGATTGAAGTGCATTTAATTCATTTCATTTGCTTCATCAATCTAAGAATTGTATCACTTTCTCAAGCTTTAATCTCTTATTTTAAATTTATTTAGTTGTGAATTCTTGTCACGCGTTGAATGTTGGTGTTCATCTTGATATGTCTTTGTTTCATGATTCAAATACTTGTCACTTCACAACCCTCAACCCGATATATCAAGAAGTGACAATTTTTTTTGATATTTTTTAATTTTATATTGCACCCCTACACTTGTTATTTTTAGATCCGCCATTGCTTTTCTTTCTTCTTTTCCACACTTCCAAATGGTTCCTCGATGTCCTTGCTTACCAAACCAAGTACCACTTCATAAAATCAGCATAAAATTCAACAAAACTCGTTGGTTTCCCAAACGTGACCCGACTATGAAATGGAAGACAGATACGACGCAAATTACTCCTAAGATATTCACAAATTAACCGAAATATGAAATGGGAAATAAAGTTGTTTCATCTGCAGTTTTTTTTTTGCTTCCGTTTGTCTTTGATATTGTTTGCTCCGAAGATCAAAGACTTTGTTGGAGGAAATGGCTTCTAACAATCATATCACTGGAGTAATGAGTCATGGCCGATAAATCAAAGTGGTTTGAATCAAATGCGTTGTTGATGGTTTACAACAAGATTGATACATTGAAAACCCAAATCTCTAAGATGTATTTTGAACCAAGCCGGTTCCAGATCATTAATCAATATTTGTGAAGCTTGTGGTGTACAAGGCCACAAATTCGAAAGGTGGTCCGACTTTTATGTAAGTTGCACATGGCATGACATTTGAACAAACAAATGCCATCTACAATCAGTCGAGGCCTAAGGGGCTTCAACTCAAGATATAATCCTTACTCAAATACTTTTAACGTGGGTTGGAAGCAGCACCCAAATTTCTCATACCCTGGTTTGCAATCGCCCCATCAATTATCTCAAGGTTTTCAGCTACTGAAGAAATCACGTCAAGTGTCGTTACAGCAGTCAGGAAAGTGGGTTCTGCTCATCTTGGGCTCAATTGCGACCGGCTTGTGCACAGGCACCGGTGGCAGCTTGATTAGGATATGACCAAACCTTAGTCCTCCCTTGGTCAGGCAAGGTGCCGGGAGATTCATGATGATGACCATACAACCAAGTGTATCGGCCCTTTTTTCGGTCTTGATCATGTTCATGCACTTAAATGATTCCAAATTAAGGTTATCAAAGTCGTCGGGCTTAGAAGCACCTTAGAGAATAACAAGAGATGATGTTGGCTTTGTGATCAATCGGGTAATGACGCCACCTCAATAGACTTCTTGGTTTGCTAGATGAATTTCACGAGTCGGCGCATAAGCCATGTTGCCCCATTTAAAATAATGACGAGCACGCCGTTGTTAGGTTCCTCAGAATCTTGGTTCATGGCCAAAAGAATATAGTACTCCTCGAGGGTAACATTGTCAGTTTCCTAGCAAGAAAAGATTGCGCATGCGATGAACCTATGAGCGATGCCAAGATAGGGATAGTGAATTAACCAAGGCCTAACAATACTAGCTTTCCAAGAGGTTTCTTCAATGATGTCCAAAATTGTAGAGCATTAAAAATCTGCATGGTATGTATCATCAGGGCCTAAGGTGCCATCATCATAAAGGTCAAGGGATCTCGTTGATATGATTAGAAGTAAAAAGCCTTTGTTGAATAAACATCCGGAAGGTAATGGCTTCCTAGGAGGGATTCCTAAAGGAGCTAAAGAATTCCAAAGTGGAGCCATGGGGTGTTTTTTATTTTGAGTAGAACGATCTTATCAAAAGCCGATAATATGAAGAAGTCGGAAGACACCCTTTGGATTCCTAAAGAGACCAAGGTGTATCACCTAGGGAATCAGGTTGATGAGATAACCCAACGTGCCAAGATCTTGAACCTTGCTCTATCCCGCATGTCTGTAAAGAGTATGCCAAAGCTAGCGGGATAGGGCGGTGGGGGATCACGCTTACTTGCCCTACCAGACGAGATCATTAAAACAATATGCACGTGAATGATTTGACCAACAAAAGTTTAAACTCCTATCGTCTGCCCAACAATGGTAGCCAACTAATTCACAATTTTATTAAAAAAATGGTAAATACGATAAGTGAGCTAGATTAAAGCTAAAACACTATATAGCTACTAACATTGAAGCTAACAAAAGTTAAAGCAAGCTTGAACAAACTAAATAATAGCTAAACTTAAGAAACTATCCACATTTTATGTAGAACAAGCTCTAAAATCACCAAATTGTGCACATAAAAAAGTTATCTAAGTCCTCCCACCACACCCCATGTGGGTCGTCTACAGGGTTCATAACTACTCCTCTTACTACATGGCGCTTACCTAGCCAACCGGTCAAGCAGAGACGAAAGTCGGCCTTAGTTGAAATACCATCAATTTTGAATAGTTATTAGAGCTTCTAAATAAGTCAATGTAACCCATGCCATACTCCCAGAAAAAGCTCGAACGACCTTAATAAAAGGGTACCCGATAGTCTTCATCCAAGAAGATAAACGAATCCTGCTCGGCGGAAGGCTATGTGTCAAGAAGTCAATTTTTGGTGTGATATGCTAGTATGTTTACAAATGTAGCAACTTGCTCTTCAATTGTCATATTACCATCATCTAATAGGCCACCATTGTTTTTAGCAACTCACACAAAATAGTAAATGCATTTCTATCCATTCACAACTCATTTACACAAATAATGTCACTTTCAAGATCTAATTTGAAATCTAGTGAATGTTCTTTGTCTTAAAGTTCTCCTCTCAAGATGTCTTTGTTCATTTTCAATTAACTAATTCACAAAATTGGCCAAAAGTATGACCAAGTTAAAGTAAGCCCTCAACTCCTTAACAACTACAATTAGATGGTTGTGATACATTCTACAAAAAAATCAAATGGAAGGTTCAAATAGGTTCAAGAAATAAAAAAGAAAGCAAAATCAAATGGAAGGTTCAACTACAATTATGTGTTCTAATGTAAGCAAACAAAATAAAGATTACATACACATGGATAGATTATAGTATTGGGATGTATGAGAAATCACAATAGTAGGTTTAAGAAGGTTCAATAGTAGGTTCAAGGCAAGTTTCTGTTTAGTTCCATGTATGAGAAATCATCAAGTTTCTATTTAGTTTCATGTATGAAAATCACAAAAAAATAAAAGAAAAAAAGAGAGGGTATATTGGTACAAGGGTTGTTTCGCTTCTTAGGTAGTGTTTGGTACGCAGACTGGATGGGATTGGACAAGACGGGACGGGACGGGACTAATTGTCTGTCCTATGTTTAGTACGACTAGGACAGGACATGACAAAACTATTAAAATGACCATATTACCCCTAAATGTTGTTCAATGTTATTTGAGAACATTCATGGCCTCTATTCATCTATGATTGAACCCCTATTGTGAACGGACTCCAGTTGTGCATTGCGGTTGGTGATCTATTTCTCAACTTTAAGTCCCAAAAGAGCATAAACTACATTGGTTCCATCAACAATTATTCCTTCATAGTTTTGAGGTGGAGACCTGACTGAATTTAGTTTAGCAGTTACATAAGCCTATTGTTGGTATACCTACAACAGCTCCTTGTTAGCTAGCAATGATAAGAAATGTCCCTACAAAAGTAGTTGACTAAGACTTGGAAGATTTGGATGCTTTTCCATTGACAAAGTCCAGGGGAGCTATCAAAGAGTATTTACTATAAGAGAAGACTTCAATTTATGTAGGGTTCAAGGATCAATAGTTTATGTGAAATAGGCTTTTATGCAGAGGAGCATTTTATTATTAAAACTACATGGCAAAGGATAAATTAACAGTGCGAGCATGAGAAGTTCTTTACACACACAGCCATCACACACACACACACAACCATTACATGGAAAAATCGTACGCAGTGGAGAAATGGAGAAATCGTACGCAGGCAAAGAAGCGAGATGCAGAAATCGTACCGATTGCAGAGGAGAGGAGGCGGTGGAAGAAGAGGAGACCGATGGAAGAAGAGAGGCGTGGAGGCGATAGCTGCACAAATGGGGTGAATTAGGAAGAATCTATACTACTTTATTAAACAAATTCACTAAAAGTCTTAAAGTCTTAAGATTTTAAATGACCAAAATACCCTTTACTTTTTCAAGCCTTCCCCTTTTAACACCCCCTCCAAAACGTGGCTTCTCTTTACCCGGCTCCCCTCCCAAGACGACGTTTCAGAAACTCTTAAAATTGTTCGATCTATACTCCCGCCTCCCAAACACATCGATTCCTTTCCCAAAGACATCGATTCCTTCTCCCAAGGCAAGGCAGCGATGCACGTTCTTGATCCCTTCATCAGGTTAGTTCTCTATTCTTCTATCAATCTCTACTCTCAATCATCTCCCACTTACTTGAATCTGTTTCTTCTGAAATCGACTGGAATCGCTCCATTTTAGGTAGCGATTC